AATACATTTTTAAAAGATAAGGAAAAATATTAGAAATATGAAACAAGCATGAAAACGTACTTAAAAGGACCAACTTGAAAAATTAGGTGCGAAAAGTATAAAGAACACAGTGGGATAAAATTAATATGAATTAAGATAAAGAACAAATTAGTGAGTTTAAAGGTCGTATATAGGGACTTCTCTTGTAGGAGCAAAGTAACTACAAACTTGGAAGCATAAAAGATAAATATGGAAGATAAGAGTAGAAGTTCCTTTCCCTCTAAGATAAGGAACAAGACAAGGAAGCAGGCTTTCACCATTTCTATTCAGCATAATATTGGAAGTTCTAGCCAGAGCAAATTAGGCAGAAAAAGAAATAATTGGCATTCAAATTCTAAGGGAAGAAGTAAAATTATCTCTTTTGGAGATGACATGATCTTATAAGTAGAAAACCCTAAAGATTCCACATACAAAAAACAATTAGGGCTAATAAATCTTGCAACATGGCAGGATACAAAATCAAGAAAAATCAGTTGTACTTCTGTATACTAGCAATGAACAGTTCAAAATGGAAATTAAGAAAATCCCTTTATAATAGCATTAAAGAGAATAAGATGCTTAGGAATAAATTTAACCAAGGAGGCAAAAAGCTTGTATAGTGTCAGCATATCTTGTTTTATTGTGCTTCACTTTATTGCACTTTCCAGGAACTGTATTTTTTCAACTGAAGGTAAGACTGCACCAGCAAAAAAGTATGACTCGCTGAAGGCTCAGATGATGGTTAGCATTTTTAGTAATAAAGTGTTTTTTAATTAAGGAATGTACATTGTTTTAGACATAATGCTATTGCACACTTAATAGACTACAGTATAATGTAAACATTTACACTGAGTGGCCAGATTATTATGACCACCCCATCAGTGCAATGAAATGAATTAGTTATGCAAATAATAATAATAATAATAAAACCTTGAGAGTATTTGCTTAGGAAGTTTTCAATATTCAGTATTTTTGGAAGTGTCAATGAAGTACTGATGGGATGTTTATAATAATCTGGCCACTCAGTGTATATGCAATGGAAAACCAAAAAATTCATCTGACTTGCTTCATGATATTTGTTTTATTGTAGTGGTCTGGAACCGTAATTCTGAGGTATGCCTGTACACTGAAAACTACAAAGCATTGCTGAGAGATATGAAAGAATATCTAAATAAATGGAAAGATATCCTATATTTATGAATTGGAAAACTTAATATTGTTAAGAGGACAGTACCAATCAAAGCCAGCTATAGATTCATTGTAATCCCTGTCAAAATTCCAAGGACATTTTTTGCAACATAGGGAAGTCCATCCTACAATATATGTGGAATCTCAAGGGACTCCAAATAGCCAAAACAATCTTGAAAGAAGAAAACAGTTGGACTTCCACATCTTTATTTCAAAACTTCTACAAAGCTGTAGTAATCAAAGCAGTGTGGTTCTGGCATACACCAGACATAGAGAATCTAGAAATAAACCCTGAAATAATATGGTCAAATGATTTTCCACAAAGATGCTAACCCCATTCAGTGGGGGAAAGTATGAAAGAAGTTACGAGGGGATAAAGGAGGGGGTATGAGGAGTGATTGTTTAATGGGTACAAAGTTTCTGATTGGGATGATAATTGTGAATATATTTAATGGCACAGAATTGTACTTTTTAAAATGGTAAACTTTATGTTAAAGAAAGAAGAAAAATTGGGGCTGGGGCTGATGCTTGTTAAATGGGATCAGGAGTACCAAAAGTTCCCATGTGGTTGGAGAATCTAGACATTGAGAGTAATTTCTGAACATGTTAGAAAAGGAGGTTATGATAAAAGGTTGGGGTATCTGATTATTGATTTGAGAAGTGATATTCCAGATAAAATCTGGAATGTGTAACGCTTAGGGAATTTGAGCTTGGGAGACAGCAAAATTCAAATTCTAGCCTTGTCATTTTTTTCAGCCCTGCCATTTTGTCATATAACTAAAGCTTTCTGAACTTTTGTCTGTTTTGTATTTGTTAAAAAACTATAGTCATTAAGATTATTGATTAAGTGACTGGTAAAAAACCCACAAACTAGAAGTGCTAACACATAGGTAGGAAACTTAAAATGACAAAAATAGAGGAGAAATATTTGAGGAAATAATAGAGATCGATTCTCCAGAATTAAAAAGAGATGAGCGATCTCATATTGAAAAGGCCCAAATAGGATACCAAATAGAGTTAAAAAAAAAAACAACCTCCATCTAGACACATTATAGTGAAATTTAAGATTGTCAGAGAAAGAGAAAAGTCTAAAGCTTACCCAAGAGAATAAATATTATTAAGGAACAAGATTCAAATTGACATCACTCTTTTAAACAGCAATATAGACTACTAGAGGCCTGGTGCATGAAATTCATGCATGGGGTGGAGGAGGGGGAAGGGTGTCCCCTCAGCCCGGCCTGCACCCTCTCGCAATCTGGGACCCCTTGGGGGATGTCCGACTGCCGGTTTAGGCCCAGGATTGGGCCTAAACCGGCAGTCAGACATCCCTCTCGCAATCTGGGACTGCTGGCTCCTAACTGCTCGTTTGCCTGCCTGCCTGATCGTCCCAAATCACTCGCCTGCCTGTCTGATCGCCCCTGACCATTCGCCTGCCTGCCTGATCACCCCTAACGGCCTCTGCCTGCAGGCCTGCCTGATTGCCCCTAACCACTCTGCCTGATCAGCCTTAACTACCTCTGCCTTGGCCCCCGCTGCATGGCTTTGTCAGGAATGACGTCTGGCTGTCCGGTTTAATTAGTATATTATGCTCTTATTATGATAGAGTAATATATTTTGAGTATTGAAAAGATTATTGAAAGAAAATAACTTTAAACCCTGAATTCAACCGTTGTTCAAGTAGAAGAGCATGATTAAAATATTCTCCAATGTATTGAATATTAAAATATTCTCAAGATATTGAAGATCAGCCATACAGGGGGAACATTTCTGAGGAAGAACGCAGATGAGTAGAGAAATCTAGCAGATCCTATTAGATGTGTAATGTACCCATGTAAGATGTGTAAAGAATGACCAAGTACCAAAGTAAAGATTGTCTAAAAAATTAGCCAGGTTAAAGAAAAGAAATAGAGGAAGTGTATCAATAACACACGATGAAGATTGGTTAGAAGGTAGATCAGGGACATGAGGGCATGGTAAAGTTCTTGGCTTGATAAAAGGTAAAACATTTTAGTTACCAATAGGAAAGAATGTAAAAAGTTCAGAAAAAGCAATGGACAAATTGAAATAATAAAGTCAGTTAAAAGGCAGAGATTGATGACTCAAAAAAATCCAATATATGTTTGTTTATAAGAAATAACCTAAATCATAATATTAAGTCATATAGTGTTGGAAGCCGATCCACCTTGGCTGCTTGAGGCAGTCCCTGCAGGGATGTTTCAAGGGACATGGTGTATATGGCATATTGTTCTTAATATGTTTGCTCCCCTCTTAACAGCTATGTGTTTTAAACAGGACCACCTCCCTGAGAAAGGTTGTTTCCCCAGAGGGGTGGTTGGTCGCTTTGATCTTTGCTTGCAGTGACCTCCTTCAGTGACTTCCTTGTAGCTTAGTGGAGCAATAGAGTAACCTTTGAATGGAGATGGGACTCCCGCTGGCCTTTTGTATAGAATGGATAGGATTGGGACCAAATAGTATAAATACAGATGCTAGATGACAATAAAGGAAGAACCTGGCTATGATGATCACCTAAACACTGACTCCGTGTCCTTCATTCTTCGCCGACTCCGTCCACACCTTGGGGAACCCCTGGACCCGCTGGGGCTGGACCCCAGCAATATAGGTGAAGGGGCATGGATCAGATGTATATGAAAATATCTGAAAATTGAGCATACTAACAAAGCATTTGCTTATGAAGATGTTATATCTATCGATAGTTATATTAGAAATTAAAACTGAAAATTAAAAAAAAAACGTTTAAAAATAGCAATAATACATCCCTCGTATGTTAACATAAGTAACATTTTAATGAAAAATAACTATTGTACTAAACAGCAAAAGATTTTAATGGGAAGAGTAATAGTATTTTATGCATTTTCGTAAATTTCTTTAACCATCTGATTTAATAAAACATACTTAGAGCCTGTTATCTGCTTTTGCATTCACTCTGTTGCAATATGTTGTTTTGATTGAGGTACATGAGGAGAATCCTAGGTCTTGTAGATCTTTTGAAACAGTCTGGGGAACCCTCGGGGGTCACACTTTGAAAATTGCTTTTTCTGTACAAATTTCTTTGCTATTGCCCCTCTTCCTCCAATTTGGTGTCTTCTGTATTGATTATAGTTTTCTCATTTTCTGTATTCCCTCCCACCTTCCATTTTTGTTTTTTATTTCCTACCTTACTTGTTATTCAGATTGATCTTCAAGTCTTCACTGATAATTCTAGTGTCTGTGACTATCTCTTCTTCAAAATTTATTGGCAAATATAGTTGCTTAACTGGAGGATATTTAAGTGTTACAAGTTTTCTTGTGTGTTTTCTCTTTTCAGTTATATTATAAAGCTCTTTTTTTTTTTTTTTTTTTTTTTTTTAAGCTCAGAAAAAGTTCAGACTCTAAAAATTGACAAGACAAAGGAAGAGTTTCTCCTAGCACAGTGTTAGGTACAAAGTAATATTTGTTGGTTGATAGGAACTAACATTCTTCAGGAGAGCACATAGAGATCACAAATTCTCTTGGCCTTAAATGTTTTATTAGAAAACTATAGTATCTGCTACATGGTAATACTTTTGGTATACAAGTAATGGTTTCTTTTTTCTTTTTCTTTTTCTTTTTCTTTTAAGAGATCTTTATAACTAAAACCATCTTCAGTTTAGGCTTGTTGATACTGCAAGTCATTTTTTTTTTATTGTTGATATTATTACAGATATCCCCCATTTTCCCTCCTTTGCTGCCCTCCACCCACACCTTCCCCTCCCTGTAGGCTCCTTACTGATTCATTTATTTTCTTTCCATTTCAGAAAAAAGCCAAAGGTCAAGAGCTGTTTGATCAGATTACATACCACTTGGATCTTATTGAAAGCGACTATTTCGGACTGAGATTTATGGATTCAGCACAAGTAGCAGTGAGTAGCTGTTTTTTGGAGGTTCTAATATGGGGGCAGAAATGGAAAATTTTAGATAATGTGCTAAGTGCTACAGGCTACTTTTTTTTTTTTTAATATATTTGATTGATTTTTTACTGAGAGGAAGGGAGAGAGATAGAGAGTTAGAAACATCGATGAGAGAGAAACATCGATCAGCTGCCTCCTGCACATCTCCTACCGGGGATGTGCCCGCAACCCAGGTACATGCCCTTAACCGGAATTGAACCCAGGACCTTTCAGTCCACAGGCCAACTCTCTGTCCACTCAGCCAAACCGGTTTCGGCAAAGGCTACATATTCTTAATGTGCTCTTTTTCCCTTTGATTTCCTTCTTATTATGATATGCTTATTTTTTTTTTTAAAGTGAGTTCTAGCCCTAACCCAAATTATTAGAGTATGATTTTTGTGGATGAGGAATGGAAATCTGTGTTTCTAATAACCAGTGGAGTTTTTTCTTGGGCATATGAGAATTGGAGAAGCACTGTGCAATGGAAAGAATGCCAGTTTTGTAGGTAAGAAGTTTCCAACTTGCAAATTTAAGGCGAGTGGACTAAGATCCCTTCCAGATCTGTGATTATGGATCAATAAATAGATGGTTTTTGATATGTGCATTTCAAATGAGAGAACTGTATATGTAATAGGGTAGGAAGTTGGAGGCTTTTCAAAGAACTGAGTATTGTACTAGGATTTAACTGGAGGATATTTGGAAGAAAGTAGCAGGTAAGATTGAAAGGTGAATTAGTGATCTCATCCAAACTGAATACCGGAAGTGTTAAATATGTTCATGTACCACATAACATGTCAGTGACAGACCACATATACCACAGTGGTTCCAAAAGATTACAATGGAGCTAAAAATTTCTATTGCCTAGTGATGTAGTAGTGCAGTGCTATGCTATTTTAAATAAATTTAGTGTTGCCTAAGTATTCAGTGTTTACAAAGTCTACAGTAGTATACAGACACATCCTATGCCTTCCCATTCACTCACCACTCATTCATTCACTGACTCACCTAGAGCAACTTTCAGTCCTGCAAGTTCCATTCATGCTAAGTGCCCTACACAGGTGTACCATTTTAAATTTTTTATGCTGTGTTTTACTGTGCCTTTTCTATGTTTGGATATGTTTAGGCACACAAAATGTTTATTGAGTTCATTTCTGGTCTGCTACCTAGTCTGATGAAGGCTTGCTTGACTAGTTTAATATCATTCAACTCTTATCTCTAGAATAAGGGATTAAAGTCTTGCAATCAGATGAAAAAATAAATGCTTTTAGGGACATACAGTTTATAGTTCACTGTTTTTCAAGGAGTCAAGGGGGAAAGAGGTAGAAGTATGCCAATGTTAAGTTTCAGGCACTTAAAATATTTAAGTGCTTGTGGAAAAAAATAGACATTCAGTTATTGCTAAGTTGTATTATTCACTCTTTGCCAATATCAGTAATTATTGAATTCTAAATCCCCAAATGATTATTTTCCCTTTTATTTGATACATATCAAAGGGGAAATGCCTTACTTGCCTTTTCGTTCTCTACACTTTAGTTCTAGTTTATCCCTTCTAATACCCAGAAATCTAGGCATTAAGATTAAATTTATGTAGGCTTACTTATTTTCTGTTTTTGCTGTCACTAAAATACTCTAAACCAGCGATTTTTAACCCTTTTCATTGCATGACATGCAAACTAATTACTAAAATTCTGCAGCACACCAAAAAATATATTTTTACTATTCTGGCAAAAACAAAATAGGTGTAATTTTGATTCATTCACACTAGACAGCTACTGTTGTATTGGCTGTTGTTGTTTTTTAAATTTTACAATCTCAGGGAAAAGAGGTCAGTGCCCCTGACTTAAATAATCAGATATTGTGTCTTAAAAATCCTTGTGGCACATCAGTTGAAAATCACTGCTCTAAATTATGTGAATTGAGTTGAAAGAACAATAATTGGTAGATGAAAACTATTAAAAATAAACTCTAGATAGTACTTTAAATATTCTTTAAGTGCTAAATCACTTGATTCCATAACTGTTCTATATAAGAAAAGCCTAATATGCAAATTGTCCCTTCGATCAGAAGTTCAACTAGGGGGTGAGGCCAACTGTCCACAGCCCCTCCTCCCAGATGGCCTGGCCTGGGCCCGGCCTGGCCCCAGCCTGCAGCGGTGGCAGGCAACCGGGGGAAGGGAGGCCCCTGCCGGCAGCCAGCAGCCTCTAGGGACCCTACTGTGTACGAATTTTGTGCACTGGGCCTCTAGTTGAAAATAAACTCTAGCCCTCACTTGATTCCATAACTATTAAAAAATAAACTCTAGCCCTGACTGGATGGAGTGTCTGCCCATGTACTAAAGGATCCTGGGTTTGAAGGACCCTCAGTTAGATTTTGGTTGAGGACATGTACCTTGGTTGCAGGTTTAATCCCCAGCCCTGGTTGGGGCATGTGCGGGAGGCAACCAATCGATGTGTCTCTCACATAGATGTTTCTCTTTCTCTCTCTCTGTGTTTTGCACCCTCCCTTCTACTCTATCTAAAAATCAATGGAAAAATATCCTTGGGTGAGGATTAGCAAAAAACAAACAAAAAGACCCCTCTAGATGACACTTTAACACATTGTATGCGGGAAACGTGTTTACACGTTTTACGTATTTATACGTTCTACCAGTGTAGTAGAGCGCGGGACACGTATTAATACGTTTTTTATAGACTAGCGGTAGAATGTGGGTAACGTATAAATACGTAAAGTTATCGTAATTTTACTGAACGTTGCCATTTGCGCAAAAAATTAGCAAAAATGGCCCGCGCCACCTGTTAGCGCGTGTTAAAAACTACCCGCAAACAATGTGTTAAGTATTTTTAAAGTGCTAACTCACTTGGTTCTATGACAGTTGTAATGACATTAAATAAACGTAGAGAAGACTGTTAGTTATTTGTTGTGTGGCCAGTTTTAACTCCAGCATGAAACAAAATTGAAATTTATAAAACACTTCAATTTTTTGGTGAAAATAGTGAACATAATGATAGCTCAAGTGGATTTTTTGGCCAGGATCATTTATGTAAACACAATGATTTTCATATTTCTTTGTCATATTTACTGTGTTGACAAAACTGTAGAATCAAAAGGGAATTATTAGGCAGTTGTAAATTACACTGCTAGGAACATAGGGCTGCATATATCCTTTCTGACTGGTGTTTTGGGTTTCTTAGGTTATATTCCTAGAAGTGGGGTTACTGGGTCAAATGGCAGTTCCATTTTTAATTTTTTGAGGAAACTCCATACTGTTTTCCACAGTGGCTGCACCAGTCTGCATTCCCCCTAGCAGTGTACTAACTTCCCTTTTCTCCACATCCTTGCCAACACTTGTCGTTTGTTGATTTGTTGATGATAGCCATTCTGAAAGGTGAGAGGTGGTATCAGGATGTTGGCCTGTTGTTCTCTTTCTTTGTAGTGTCTTTTTGATTTGCATCTCTCGGATGATTAGTGACTTTGAGCATTTTTTAATATGTCTTTTGGCCATCTGTATGTCCACTTTGGAGAAGTGTTTATTTAGGTCCTTTGCCCATTTTGTGATGGAATTGTTTGTCTTCCTTTTGTTGTATGAGTTTCCTATATATTTAGGAGATTAATCCCTTAGCAGATGTATCATTGCCAAATACGTTCTCCCATACAGTGGGCTCCCTTTTTGTTTTGTTGATGGTTTCTTTTGCAGTGCAGAAGCTTTTTATTTTGATGTAGTCCCGTTTGTTTATTTTCTCCTTAGTTTCCATTGTCCTAGGAGATGTATTGGTAAACATACTGCTACGAGAGATGTCTGAAATTTTGCTGTCTATGGTTTCCTCTAGGTCTTTTATGGTTTCACGTCTAACATTTAAGTATTTTATCTATGTTGAGTTTATTCTTGTGTATGATGTAAGTTGGTGGTCTAGTTTCATTATTTTGCATGTATCTGTCCAATTCTCCCAACACCATTTATTAAAGAGACTGTCTTACTCCATTGTATGCTCTTGCCTCCTTTGTCAAATATTAATTGAGCATAATCGCTTGGTTGATTTCTGGGTTCTTTGTTCTGTTCCATTGTTCTATATGCTCGTTCTTGTGCCAGTACCAGGCTGTTTTGAGCACAATGAATTTGTAGTATAACTTGATATCTGGAATTGTGATTCTTCCAACTTTGTTCTTCTTTCTTGAGATTGCTGCAGGGTCTTTTTTGGTTTTATATACATTTTTGGAATGTTTGTTCTAAGTTTGTGAAATATGGCGTTGGTATTTTAATAGGGATTGCATTGAACCTGTAGATTGCTTTGAGGAGTAAGGATAATTTAATGTTAATTCTACCAATCCATAAACATGGTATATTCTTCCACTTGTTTATATCTTCCTCTGTTTCTTTTTTCTACATTCTGCAGTTTTTGGAGTACAGGTCTTTTACCTCTTTGGCTAAGTTTATTCCTAAGTATCTTAATTTTTTGGTTGCAATGGTAAGTGGGATTTTTTTTTATTTTCTCTTTTTGAGAGTTCACTATTATGTATAAAAATGCTATGGATTTTTGGGTGTTATTTTTGTATTCTGCTGCTTTTCCGAATTCGTTTATTAAGTCTAGTAGTGTTTTGATGGAGTCTTTAGGGTTTTCTATGTACAGTATCATGTTATCTGGGAATAATGAGAGTTTTAGTTCCTCCTTTCCAATTTGGATGCCTTTTGTTTCTTCTTATCTGATTGGAAGTGAGTACTATGTTGAACAAGAGTGGGGAAAGCAGACATCCCTGTCTTGCTCCTGAGTTCTTAGGGGTAATGGTTTTAGTTTTTGCCCATTGACTATGATGTTGGCTGTATGTTTGTCATATATGGCCTTTATTACGTGGAGGTATGATTCCTCTATTCCAACTTTGCTGAGAGTTTTTATCAAAAAAGGGTGTTGGATTTTGTTGAATGTTTTTTCTGCATCAGTTGATATGATCATGTGATTTTGGTTTTGCAATCTGTTTGT